TAGTCTCAATACTGAAACTAAATACTTAATTTCCTCAGCTCCAATGGCTGTATTCTTCCTATTTTACTTCTGAAATTAGGACGCATCTATTAAATATGTGTGGTCTTTTTCAAAGACTGTTAAGTTTATCCTGTTATCTCACAATGAATGAAATTCTAGAAGTGAAATCTGATAGAAGCCTGACATCTGACTGAATCATCTCTTCTCTTGAGGTCTGTTTTCTTACCTGTAAAACAAGGGATTATTATCAAAATGTTCTTTTTTTTAAGTATATGATTACAGCAGTTCAAAACTTGTACTGGGCAATGTCATAGTAGTGGGCATTATACTAATGTGTGAGAGGGGTTTAACAGAATAAAATCCTGCATTCCACCTTCATGAAAGAAAGCTGCAGTGAATCTGGGAGGTGTAACCCAAGCTCAAGGTGTTCCTGAGGGTCTTGCAACCTTGAAATATAAGTAAAGAACCTTCTTTTGAGTACTTGGATTTAAGTGCTGAGAGTCCTGGCAAAGAAGTGTTCTCCCCTGGGAAGAGTCCACCAAGAAGGACTCCTGAGAAGCCGGACACCTTGAAGGTGCTGGCCGTGGAGCCATTTGGCAGTAGCAGAATCCTCACACCCAAATGGGAGAAATTTGACCTGCAAGGCTAGGACAAGGCTGAATCTGAACACAAGGGCTAATGCACAAGATAATTAGCATTCATCCAGAGCAGACATGAGCTCAGAGTTGAAGAGCTTGTCTGTGATATATAAAAGATTCTGGGTAATGAATTAGGAGGTAAATGTTTGGAAATCAGAAACCAAAAGACGCTTTGGAATGGTGTGTGGCATGGTCAGCGATCCTCATTAGCTCATGCATTCACATTCTGCGGATGTGGCAAAGTCTGTTTTCCTCCTATTGAAGATCAGCGTGAAGGCTGAAAGAGCATGATGATAACAGATCTGCTTGTCCAGCTGCATGGAGCAGTCCTGGACTCCAGGTGTCAGCCCCCACACGCCCCAGACACCTCTTTTGCGCCCTTTGCTATGGTGAGCCCCTGCTTGGAACTGGAACCATCCTTCCTCACTAAGGGGAAGCGTGGCAGGAATAGAAACGTGCACACCCATAGGCAGGCTTGTGTTTTTAGGTTTAATATGTATAATATAATAAACACCTGAGTGCACACCCTGCCCCCAGAAGTGACCAGTGTTTCCATTTGTTTACTCTCCAGAGATCGTTTTTTATCCTCCTCTCCAGAGGCAGCCACTAGCAATGAATTGGTGTTTATTTTGCCAGTTAAATATGAGTGCTTAAGTCCCCCTCTTACAGTTGGAAGGTTATGTTAGGGCTGATCTTTTTTATTCTAAAAACTATGACCTTAAAGCCTAGAGGAGTTGAGTAATCCAAAATTGTCTTTCTTTCTTTCTTTGCACATCCTTATTAAGTTTGGCCTGAAGAGAATGTAATAGGAAGACTCTAACAGTCTGTGAATTTATTCAGTGTCTTCTCTACGCTATTGAAATAAAAGAAGAGAAAATAGAGAATAAAAGGAAGATATAAAGAAAAAGAACCAATGGCATTGTTCAATATCTCTTATCAGGGCTGTGATGTTTATATATGTGAACTAGGAAATGGTATAAAATAGTGGCAGGGAGGAACATTTTTCTTTTTCCTCTACCCTCTTAAGCTCTAGTCTGGAGCTCTGTAAATTTGACTGACAAAAGACAGATTAACAAGAAGAAAACAAACAGAAGTTTATTAACATGTGCAGCGCACAACACATAGGGGCATTCAGTGATGAATAACTCAAAGGGATATTAGCACTGGGAGCTTGTATAGAATCCTAACAAAAGGACAATAAATTTGTAAAAAAGTGACAAGACAAAAAGGATTTCGAGTTTCCAGGGTAGCAAATTGTGGGAAGGTGAATATATGGGGGAGCTAGTGGAAGATAAGAACCAGTTATGTAGAGTCCTCTGGTGCCAACTCTGGGATAAGAATCTAGGGTGGTCTTCAGTGATTAACTCTGTCCTTCCTGATAGAGAAAGAAGGACATCTTTATAAATTTAGGTCCTGCTTTTAGGCAAATGGAGAAAGGGCAGATAGCTTTTTCTGCATCTGCTTCTTCTCAGTTGCCTCAAAATAAATCAACATGCAAAAGTGGCATATTTGGGGCTGGCATGTTCTGCTTCCATACAGGGTAGGGCTAAAGGGTACACTCTGTATATTCAGAGCCACGTACAGAAGAGTCAGAAGGTATTATGCATTATCTAGAAGAGGAGACTTTGTACTGAGTAGTTACTGGAAGTTTTATAAATGGAGAGCAACTCTAAATAGGTTGCAGTGAAGGGTTGGTTTTGAGAGCCTGAGGCAGAATGAAGAGGAAGAAATGAAGGGTCCTGGAACATTATCATCCTACAGACAGTATATCTGAGGGTCATAGTGGCAGGTGAGATCGTATTGTGTGGAGGGGGCAGATTATGCCAGGGGTCTATAGATCAGCTGGAGAATTTTTCAACAGTGACACTGGTAATTTATATATCTTTTCAATCATAATAGCTAGTAAAGGGTAATAGTTTAGGAAATACACTCTCACTGAATGTTCAAATTTGTAAAAAAAAAAAAAACATGTTTGAAGGGGACTTTGTCTCAAAGCCTTAAATATATGTGTTCTTCAGCCCACAAAGTAGACCTGAGGTTTATAATAGAAGAAAAAAAAGGAAATAAATTTCAAAAAAGACCATTGTCATTATAGATATTCTATATTTAAAATAGTGTTGCAGTCATGGTAAAATATATGGAATGATCATAATATATACTAGGAACATAGTATATATTAAGAATGAAAAGCATAGAAAAACAAACATGCAGCATTTTTTTTAAATATGCACATTAACTGGGAAAAAATTATACCTTAATATTAACAATAATTATCTCTGGGGGGTAGAATTACTTCTGATTTCTATTTCTTCTTTTTCCTTGTTCATGTTTTCTAAAATTCCTTTCAATGAATGTTTGATTTTATAATAAGTAAGAAAATTATAAAAATTACAAACCATAACAATTATGCATTTGTTCAAATATCTGAAATATGTTGATCCCGAAGATTGATGAAAATAGTTTCATTTATAAAAGAAGTTATGCTTATTCTAGAATGTGGTGTAAATTACAGTTGTCAAAATTCCCAAATGACCATGTGACTGAGAAAAAACCCAGACATTCTTAAGCTTACAAGACATAAAGAATAACTTAGGCGGTCTCAGAACAGAGTTAGGTAAAGATTTAAAGGCTGAGTTAATTCATTTAAGAAAACGGTGCTCCCCAGAGCACTTCAAAGGAACATTATCATCCTATATACAGTATATCTGAGTTAGACTAATATCAGTTGGTTTTTAATGTTTGATAAACTACTCTTCAAACTCTTATATTTTGCTTATCATGACATATGCAAGCAAAAAACAATGGTACTTCTTTCCTGATATGGGACTTAGTTCTCCCCAATGCAAGAGACTGAGAAAAATTTCTTCTAGCCTTATAATTCTCAAGTTCTATGATTGTAGCAAAAGCTAACATTCAGATTGCTGTGTTACTCACAGTATCATTCTGAAATAAAGAGGAACCTCAAGTGATACAAAGTTGTACATTCATTTAAACCACTTTGTGTTTTGAAGTCAGTGAAAAGTTACTATTATATTTGAATTAAGTGCTTTTTGTGTAGGGCCAGTGACCAATTCTAATGGACTTAATCTGACTCATGTAGCAGTACTTTAATAACTTTAAAAATACACATACATGAGTATTAGAATTAATTAGCTCTTCCACCATGGGGTGTGTGTGTGTGTGTGTGTGTGTGTGTATGCACGTGCCTACACATAGGTATGCACACAGCATCAAATGCAGGATAGCTGAGATAGAAGAGAGCAACTGATGACGACAACTGCCTCTTGTTACAGTGTAACAAGGGTAAAAAAGCATCCCAGGTAACTATGTTACCTCATTCACAGATATACCTATTTAAATAAATTAAAAAAAAAAAAAAGCAAGCAAACAAACAAACAAACAAAATAACAAACAAGTGGGGAACATGCAAGGATAAATAACCATACTGGACCAGAATTGAGGTGAATCACTGATTCAACTTCGTATAGTTAGGATCCAAATGGGGGGAAAAAGAAAAAAAAAAGAACATAATTGTTACCCTAAAAGATTTGCCTAACTGCTGGAAATACAGTCAAGAAAACTGACACAACTTTTCTTTTTTTTTCCAGCAAAAACTTTTCTTCCTTGTTCCATTACATAAGGTGAATTTTGATGAAACCTGAAAGTTTTAGTCCCAGAAATTTGCTTTTGAAATTATATTGTTTGTTCCTTAGATGTCCAACATATCTTAGAAATTAAGTACCCACAGCCTTTAGCATCAGCTGGGATCTGGGTGACAGGAAGGGCAGGTGTTTTCAGCTGAGACTGGGCAGCAATCAAATTAGATGACAAATCATTGCTATTGTTTTCATCTCAGCTGTGTTATTGTCCTCTACCACCCTGATTTCCATTCTCAAAATTGATTGGAATCATGGCACATATTTTGGAATGCATTGTTAAAATCTCTAGTGTTATAAAATGGATAGAAAAGGCCACGAAAACATTAAATTAGTGGTTATTTTCCCTCCTTATAGCAGTGACTAAGAAAAGAATGAAGTTAACCCCCTCCCAACCTCACATCATTCATACCCTGTACACAGAGCTCTCTGGAATGCATCTGTGCTTGGAGGTGGGCAGTGTGTGTGTGTGTACATAAACACTTACGCAAAGTGGTAGGGAAATTCACAGCCCAGCTATTCAGAGATGCCTGACACAGAGAAGGGGCCTTATTTCCTGAGCTTTTATTTGAAATAGTAAGTATCAGAAAGTTGGGGGTACATAGCCATGCGGAATTTTTCCTCAAATGTTCCCAGAAGCAAATTAACTTTTTAATTTGATATTATCATAACAAAAAAAAATATAAATACTTTTGTGTGTGTGTAGTTCAGTGTCCTTGGACCCGAGCATGAGGAGAATGAGCCTCCAGAGCCAACGTGGGCTCATAGTTTGGTTGTTACTTCCTCATCTGAGGCTGTTGCCACTCTTGGGCCATTGCTCAGCACCCTTGAGAGTATGAAAACCAGAACTCCAAGTCCTGGACTGATTTTATACCAGGATAATTTGGTGCACAAAGGTAAGAGACACCTAGCAATCAACTGCAGTACCTACCACATGAGGCAGGCACAGAAAGATGGTCTCTAAAATCTCATTTAAAAAAGAACACTCTGACTCTAACCAGGGAGGACAAAAGATATTTTTTGCTGGGTTATAGATAAGACTTGTAAACTGGCTGACTGTGGAATAAATTTTATTATAAAAGTTTTAAAGCTGTTTATTTTATTTTAAATGTTATTTCAAACTGAATGCCTTTAGAGAAGATTGTGTTCTGTTTGCCATAGTCCAGCTGCTCCCTGTTGTCTTACATGTGGCTTCCATACAAGTAGGCATTTGAGGTTTGACCTCTTGATTGCACAAGAAAGAGAAAAAAAGATAAAAATTTAGATTTTGATTTATCAACATATTTTCTTTTTTTAAAAAATTGGTTTTATTTTTTAAATACATGACAGTGGAATGCATCACAATTCTTATTGCACACCAACATATTTTCTATGGAGTTAATATATATGAAAAATTATATATATGCATATGTATATGCATTTTTTTGTGAAATATGCAAGAAAAACAACATCCCTGTTTAGATTGGCTTGAAAACAAGTTATACAATATACAATATTTAGTTTTTAAGAGCAGAGGTAGAGGAAGTATGTTTCTTCCTATTTGGTCTAAGGAGCCTTTATAAGAGCTGGAGAAAGAACTCATTTGCTACAGAGAAATGAAACTTGTGACTCAAACCAACTCACACAATAAAAGTCACAGGCACAGTTATCCATTTGGTCTTTTAATTAATTTATTTATTGGCTTCTCCCACCTTGGATTAACTTCAGGTAGGAAATGTGAATCAAAGTACTATGGAGAATCACAAAATAGAAAGGGATTTAACATTGTTGGCATGGTGGTATGGTCTTGTAGTCCCAGCTACTCTGTCGGCTGAGGTGGGAGAGTCACTTGAGCCCATGAGTTTGAGGCCACATGGTGAGACTCCATTTCAAAAAAAAAAAAGAAAATAGAAAAGGATTTAGCATATTGAAAGTTCTGTGATTAGAAGAATCTCATTAGTATAATATGACTTTATTGTTATGACTCACCTTTGCTTTCTTACACTGGGTACATTTCTGAAGTTTATTTGTAAATTGACTTTAGAATGTCATATTTTTAGCATCCTATAAGAGTTGTCCTTTAGAGGAATTGTGATATAAAGAGCCTCTCATTTTCCTGCCTTTGGTGACTTACAGGGTTTTTCTTTTTAGGCACACACAGTGATACTTTCTATGAATAAACTGAAGGTGTAAGTCATTTTCATTCCAAATATTAGCTTGATTTAAAATCAAATCCAAAGTAAATGGAAGAAGTCCTATCTTTCTCATATCAACAAATCCCTACAAAAGTATTAATAAATAAATTCTCACACTTTCAGGGAAATGTGCATTTTTATTGGGGTTTCATAAAGATCAAAAACTTTTGTTTTAAATGAATGAATATGAAGTGGTAGAGTTTCAGGTAGTAGGCAGAATATTTGGGGTTTTTTGGATCCCTTGTTTCACTCATTTAGAATCATATTTTCTTAGTTGGTCTGCTAATGTGTCGAAAGCATATTTTAAAAACATAACTTCATAAAGCTTTTACTTTTCATCCCAGTAAAGAAAAACCTCTAGTAATGCATTATCTTTTTCCCATCCCAGATCCTAGATGTTTGGAAGACTTGAAGCCTGGAAACTGTGTTGATTATGTAGTTCGATGGTATTATGACAAACAGGTCAACTCGTGTGCCCGCTTTTGGTATAGTGGCTGCAGTGGCTCAGGAAACAGATTCAACAGTGAAAAGGAATGCCAGGAAATCTGCATTCAAGGATGAGTAAGTAAATTAACCTATCTCTATTGAAAGCCCAGAAAGAATCCAATACAAAGAGGGCACCATTTTGTGTTTTTATAATTTAAAAATGTAATGAAATCCTCACAACAACCTTATGATGTGGGTGGTGATGTTAACTTCTTATATAGATGAGAAAGCTAAGACACTGACAAATTTAGTAGCTTGTCAATTGTCAATCAACTAAAAGGTGGTGGAGCTGGGGACTGGAACTCAGGGCTGTATAACTTTGATACACAGGCTCTATCTGCTTCATGACCTGTGATCTGAGTTTGATTCCTGTTAATTCCTGTCATACATATTATGTTAGGTCAAACACCCACCTCTGCCCATGGCCCCACTCCCTCACACCTTCACACCCTTGTCACTAGCAGAAGGTAAGTGGTGGGAAGGACTTTGGTTAAAATTAGAAGTGATCAGGATTTTTTTTTTCTGTAAGTGGACACAATACCTTTATTTATTTATTTTTATGTGGTGCTGAGGATCAAACCTAGTGCCTCACACGTGAGAGGCAAGTGCTTTACCACTGAGCCACAACCCCAGCCCAGTGATCAGGATATTTTTATGCATGAATGCTGGTTAGGCATGGATAAGGTGAGGGCAGTGAGATTTTTGCCATACATGCCCCAAAAGTGATAGTACATAGAAATCAATCTGAATTAAGATTACTACAGTGTATTATAAACTGTTACTTCCTGTTTCTCCAACATGTTTGATAAGACCTTCATTGTATGTTTCAGTTAAAAATTTAGACACAGCAACTTTAAAAGTACATGAATGGAATTTTTGATTTGATGGGAATGGAATGAGAAGGCACTTGGCAGCCGAGAACTACTTGAAGCCCACATCTACTTTTGAGCAGGATAATTTAAAGATAGGACTCACACTGAAAAATGAGCCATCGAATTGAAATATGAGTAAATGGAGAGTTCAGTCTGTCATTTTATAATAATTTTGTGACATCAAGTCTGGGAAGACCATTAGTTCTTAGCTGAGCTCAGACAGCATTTGTACGGATCATCTGACAGCATACTTTCTCCTTCTTTCAGACTGTGACTCTCATTCAAGTTCAACAATACAGAAAAGAACTTTCAAGGAAGAAGGAAGTGGAAGAATAGCCATCTTATCAAAAATAATATTATAATTCTGGGATGTAATTAAAATTGTATTATGTAATATTTGATACTACAAAAGAGTCCTTGTAAATTTAAAAACATAATTGGATGAACACCAGTGAACACATCATCACCTAGGGAATGAACCAAACATTACCCACTCTATTGAAGTTTTTCAGTGCCATCTGCCACCACAGCCCCCCATTCTATGCTAGGGACATATTTTGAACATATACAACTGTTGCTACTGGTTTTATTGGTACTTTTACACGTAAAACTATATGTATCTCTAAGCCATGTTTAGTCTTGAATATTTTAGAGCTTTGTAAAAGTGGCAGCAGACTTTAGTCTTCAGCAACTTCAACTTTATAATTAATCATATATTTTTCCCATATAAAATATATTCCTAAATAACTTATTATTTAGTTTTTTGAGCTTTAGAAAATTGGTGTTATAAATGGATGTGGTGGCATATACCTATAATCCTAATGACTTTGGAAGCTAAGACAGGAAGATTGAAAGTTCAAGAATGGCCTGGACAACTGAGTGAGACCCTGTCTCAAAAATCAATCAAGCAAGCAACAAATTAATGAAGTAATTAATTAATTATATGGGCTGGGGACAGCTCTGTGATAGAGCACTTGCCTAGCATGCTCAAGACCCTGGATTTGATACCTATCACAAGAAAAAACAAGTATTAAAATTGTGTTATATAGTTCTCCATTGTTTGCTAGACTATTAATTGTTTATATGCATTTATTTCACAGTTGTGTAATGTTTATGTGAATATACCACAATATATTTAACCCTTACTTTGGAATGATCAAGTTGTTTCTATCTCCTTTTTTTCATTATTTTATCAACATTGTCATGAAAGCTTTTATTCATGTCACATCCACATCAGTGTTTTTCTAGTGTATATTGCTTGGTTGCAGGGCATGTGAATATTCAAAACTAGTATATATCATACCAATTTTTCCCCAAAGTGTTTGAACCAATTTATTATAAGTTCCCAAGAGTTATACAGAAGAGTTATCAGAGTGCTTAATTTTGTTAAGTTGAATGAAAATGGTATCTTGTTTTAAGGTAGCATTCTCTGGTGCCATCCTACAATGCCTAGTCAGCATCTGTGCTGCTGTTTCTGAGAAATGCCTATTTATAACTGTGGGAAATTTTTTTTTATTGGACTTTTTACCTTATTGAATTCTTGGAGTTTTTTTTTTTTTTTTAATATAGTCTGAGTTTTAATTCTTTGCTTGGATTTGTTTTGCTGACATCTTTAAAGCTTATCTTTTAAGTTTTCTTTCCCTCCCTTCATTTCTTCCTTCCTTTCATTTTTCTGTCTACCTTGATTGTAGAGCAGTGAGATTTACCCATCTCCCCTTTTGCAGTTAACACTTTTTGCTCCTTCTTAATGCCTCTCAGCTTCTCGACCATCTTTATTGGATGAGAAACTTCTCCAGGACAAAAGTCATTGAGTTCTCATCATTTCTCTAGATTCCCATCTTTATACCTAGTTATTCCTTATTAACTTATTCACTCCTTGATAATTTCTAGATGATATCTTTTCAATTTGTTTAATTTTCTTTAGTTGTCCTTGGCATGAAAGTATGAGCTATATAAATACCTCCCCCCCCCCACCGCCCCTCGGCTAGGGATCTATCCTTGCTAGGCAAGTGCTCTACCAATGAACTATAACCCCTAGAATTCTATCAGTTTTGGGTTAGGGCTTCACATGTTTTCTCATTTCCTGGAAACTCATCAATGCATTAAAAAGTATATATCAGCCACCATAGTTTGTTGAAAAGTAGGACACTTCAGGGTATCTAGGCTGTTATTTTAGTGGGATAAAAAGTATTTTTATTCCTCTTTCAAGCTTTTCATAACTGTACCCCCACAGAAAATTGATATGCAAACATATTATAAGGTCAGTTTGGGTATTTGTCTCTTCTTCTGAAATATCCTTGTTTTTCTTCCGTAACTAGCAAAGTCCTAACACTCCAATGACAACTGGGAGGTTTCTTCCTTTGTGGTTCCTTCTCATCCCTATCTTGCTCAACACCAAGGACCCAAAGTACTTGGTTTATGTCTCCGTTCTGCACATTCTCCACAAGCTGAGCCGCTTTGTACTTTTTTTGAGGCACATCTGCATTAATTTCCTTTTGCTGCTATAACAAAAGACCACAGGTTTGGTATCTTAAACAACAAAAATGTGTTATCTTAAAGTCCTGTACCTCAGAAATCTGTTGCGGGTCTCCATGGTCTAAAATCAAGGTGTATGTAGGGCTGTGTTTCTTCTGGAGGCACTGGAGGAGAATCCATTTTCTTGCCTTTTCCAATGTCTAAAGGCCACCCACATTCCTTGACTGTGGCCTCTTCCTCTGTTTTTAGAACCAGCAACTGCAGGTTGATGTCGCTCATGTTGCCATCTTTCTGGTTTATAGTCAGGAAAGGATCTTTGCTTAAAGGACTCATATGATTAGATAGGTCCACTTAAATACTCCAGAATAATCTTCCTGCCTCAAAGTCCTTCATTTTGGTTACACCTACAATGTCCTTTTTGCTATGTAAGATAGTGTATTCACAGATTTTGGAGATTAGGAAGTAGACATCTTTGGAGCCCTTACACTGTCTAGCTGCTCTTGGAGCAAAGACGTCCATACCTTGTTTGTCTCCATGTCTCTACTTCCTTACACACAAGACAACCTCAATAAATTTCTTAAAAATTGAATTCATTTTATAAAAGTCATTACATAAATAAACAGCTACTTGCAAGAGAAATATAGGAAAATTAGGGGAAAAATCATATCAGTTTAAAAGGAGGCTAAGAGAAAAGTGACATGTCAATGAGTGAAAACTATTACCTTCTGATTCACTTTGAGATTAGCACCCACTCTCTCCCTCCTCACCCACCATTAGCAACCCAAAGGGAAAAGTCAGAGGGATTATTGTCTAACTAGATTAGAGATCAAAGAAAACAAATTGAACTTTGTGTGAATTAATTCTGGACAAGAGGCTGATGGTTTACATTCCATTATTTCCATTTTAGCATACTCTTAAAACTCCTAATGAGAACATTTCTTGACAATTAAAAAGCCAACAGAGATGGGAGAGGTACATGACATTTTGTTTTTCTATTCTCATGAAAAAAGGACAGAATGTGTATATGACATGCTGAAAACAAGAATATGTATCTAAAGAAGTCTCCATTTTAAATTAAGACATGAAGAAATTTTTAGAATTTTATTAAGTATTAATGATGTTTCACAATTTTACTAATAAAAAATCATTGGTATGTTAAATATCTCTGATGATTATTTCTATTATATTTATTTACTGGAAAACTCAGCTTTAGTAATTCCAATAAATCCTCTAATCAGGTGTTTGTAGAGTATTCTAAATGTATAAAATGATAGGCTTCATGACTTTAGTCTTAATACTGATCTTAAACACAATATAAGTAAAAAAAATCAATGAGAGAAAGTTATTTGCAATACCGTGTAACAGAAATTTTTATATGTCTAGTTAGCCCAGAGATCCTGCAAATCAAAGAGAATAAAAAAAGAAAACTAGGAAAATGAAAAGAATTAGCAATTCAAAGAAAATGGACAATAAATATATGGAAAGATATTCTAATTAAATTATGGTAGAAATGCACATTAAAACAGGCCCAGATAGGGTCAGGGTATATGAATAAGTACAAGTGATTCTCCTGAGAAGCCCTGTTGAGAACCACCAATGGGTATTTGAATTCTGCCAGCCTTAACAGACAGCCTAACATTTGACTTGAAATGTTAGCTGTTTAGCTTGTAAGGGCCCAGCTAACACCGGAGGAAGAGACCACCAAGAGACTGACTTTATACAATAAGC